TGAGAGATATTATTAAGGGATGTAGCTCTCATTTGGCTAAATTCTTGGATGCAATTAATTATTGGACTAAGTCTGGAAACAAGAAGCCAAATAAGTTCAATGTTACAGTTATCTGAGACGAGACCGCGCCACAATAAACGAAGGAAGCAGAGGGGATTGTGGTCCACTCGTATACATGTGCTTGGAGCGTTTGACGACAGGAAGTACACATTTTCTCTCCACCGATAGAGATAGAGGTGCAGTAGGCTTGTGGTTTCGGCATTTTATGGCTAGAGCGATATGCGAGACGCTGCCTACCTACATCCGCGTTATGAAAGTGTAAACAATTTGTAAGTCAAATGCAAGTGTTGTTAAATATATACTCTTTTTGGTTTGAAAATGTTTGGTTAAGTAGCTAGAATTCAATAATTTGCTGTTTGTAGGTTTTAGATGTATAGAAAGTGTTGTTGATTCAATGTTTGGTTTCTGCAGGTTAATCCTGAAGTGAGCTGCGTGAAATTGATGTATGGGTGCAAAAGTTGATTTCATTATTATTTTTGATTGTTAATTTTGTAAAAGATGATTTGTAAATGTGATTTGTTTAATTGATGTGTACATATATTTATGCTTGTTTAATTGATTGAAATGTAATAGTTGATTTGTTGATTTCAATCTGCATTATGTTGAATGCAAAACAGACTATCGCAACGCGGAAATGACTATCGCAACGAGAGAATCGCAATGCGAAATGAAAATCGCAACGAATTTCGCGTTGCGATTTTCATTTTCGCATTGCGATTCACTCGTTGCGATTTTCATTTCGCATTGCGATTTTCATTTCTCATTACGATTTTCATTTCGCATTGCGATTCTCTCGTTGCGATAGTCATTTCCGCGTTGCGATAGTCAATTCCGCGTTGCGATAGTCATTTCCGTGTTGCGATAGTCATATTCGCGTTGCGATTTCTGCGTTGCGATAGTCAAATGAATGTCTAATAAGTGATAACAACTGAACATATCATAGCAATGTTCAAACTCAAGTTACTAATACATGCCTAACTGAAAATGTTAAAAGTTCACACATAATATACACATAATACAACGTTTGCATTTAAAAATCACCTAAGTTAACAGTCCCAAAAGGTGAAGCCGGTTGTGATTGGGATTTTGATGAGGATCCATATTTTGGTAGAGGAAAAGATGATTGTGATGGCACTGGTGATCCACATGTCAACCTTGTATGACCACTTTCCTTACACCGACTACATGTTGATCTCTTCTTCTCTTCACCCTTAGACGGTATACGATCGTGACTTTTTGGTCGGCCAGGTAGCCTTCTGTCCATGGCTGGTGGCAAAACTGTTTGTAAGTCATCTGGTATGTCCCACTCAGAAGGATGTGGAATAGGGTAGACAATCTCGCCATAAGTCTGTCGATATACTTCTGTAGTGTAGCAATCCATAGCGTATGCGCTTGAATCATCTTGGTTTAGATGAAGAGAAACTTTTATAACATGGCCACACTGATAACCAGATGTTTGCCATTTCATACAACTACACGCCTTTGCATTTAGATCGACAAGCTCATTTAAGTTATTATCCAGTACTTCAAACAAAGTGTTTGAACATGGTTCAACTCTCCATGACGTTGACTTCACAACACGTTTCGTTATCTTTTTTTTTGTCCATGGTGTAACACGATGTTCCAATGTTCCTGTAAATTTAAATAAATAATACTTAGTAAAATATATGATAAGTTACGAATTTAAAGAAATAATACCTGCATGGTTTCTTTTCTTGTAGTACCACTGTTGAATAGAGGCTCGAAAAAACTCCATTAACATAGTAATGGGTAATTTCTGGGAATGACAACTTAGAGCGTTGATTGATTCTGCACTATTAGACGTCATGAAACCATATCTTGCTCCAAGTTGATGTACTCTTGACCATCTTTCAAACCCGACATCTTCTAGTGTTTGAGCACACTGAGGCAAAACACGTCTTAAACAGTTTATATGCTTATTAAAATCCACTTCCCGATAAGCTTTTACAACCTTCTAGTATGTCCATTTGTGATTTTTTATACCAGCAGACCTTGATTTTAGATTTCTATACAAATGAACACCACAAAGTCCATGAAAAGCATCTGGGAAACACCTTCTAACAGTGTTGTCAATTGAGTTTGCCCTATCGGATATGATTGTCAGATTGCTAATAGGACCTATGCAATCCCTAAGATGCCCCATAAACCATGTCCATGAATCAGAGGTTTCAGATTTGCCAATCCCGTAAGCTATTGGCAGTATCCCATTGTTAGCATCCATGGCTACTGCTAATAAGTTTACTCCAAGGTATCGACCTTTTAAATGTGCTCCGTCAACTATAATAACTGGGCGCATGCAATTAATAAACGAACGAATCTACAAAATCATATACACAAGAAATATAATCATTTAAATGTGAAATGCATGTAACTAACAAAAATGAGTCAACAAAATTATATTGATTTACTAACCGCAGCACCAATGGCGATAAACAGTAACTCAAAGCGTCCATCTCTATCTGTTTTGATATGAGTTACCGACACAGGATTTTTCAGCTTTAAATTGTGACAATAAGCCGACAGTTGGGCAAACGATGCTTCTGGCGACCCCCTCAACAATTCCAAGGCATAACATTTGGCTCTCCAAGCTTGAGAATATGAGATACTAATCTTGAACCGAGCATTCATGTCAGTCATAATTTCATGTCCCCGATATACCCTGCCATTCAAAAACATTAACTTAGCCAGAAAACCACCCAACACCTTTTTGTTTGCCTGTCTATGGTGAGGAAAAACTTGGGTTCTTGAACATGTATGTTTATCAATAAAAGTCCTAACTTGAAATATTTCACAATCTTTTATCCTCTTTGCAATCATACGCCACGTACAACTTTTGTCAATCATACACCTTGTTTCGAAACGATCTTTGCTTGATTTGTTAACTTTTAGTTGATAGCCATCTTCCACACATTTCGTATACAAAGCTATCTTCAAGTCTTCCTTTGTATCAAAACAATCATCTTTCTTGATACGAATAATTTTTGTGTAACAATCAACTGCTATCTTTACCAACTCTTCTTCCGGTATATGAAGTAATTATGGCATATTCCAGTTATACTCCTGTGGTATTTTCTTCGGGGACTTTTCTTTGGGGATTTCTTCTTTTTCTTCTTCAGTGTTATATGAATTATAGAATGGATGTTCAACATGTTCATTTATAGTCGTAACTTCCTCCTCATTATCATCAACAACATCTTCCTCGGCAACGACTGTTTCATCATCAAAATTCGGGTATTGACCAATATCAAAATCATTACATGCAGGGTCTGTTTCTTCTTCTGAAAAATCATCAAAATCCGAGTATTGACCAAGATCAAAGTCCGGGTATTGACCAAGATCAAATTTCGAATACTGACTAGTACTCACAATTTTTTCTGTTGGCTCATCATCGTCTAACTGGTCAATACGAAAACCGGAATTTGGTACTGAAAGTTGATTGGGATTAGGGAAAGGTTGTGGGTTTTGAGATTGTGTTTGGTATTGGAAATGTGGTGAAACAATATTTGCTTGGTGATGAAATTGTGGTGGAACTATTAAATTTTGAGCACCATAAACTGGGGTTGAAAAACTTAGTTGATTACTACCCGCTACTGACCCAACTTCACTACTTCTAGGTTCAACAACATACAATATAACATCATCACTTGAAACACTAATGTAAGCAATGAATCGTTCAACATCTTCATTGTCGGTTAACAAATAAACTTTACCATTTCTCTGATAAGATAACCTAAATCCACTTAGGGGCTCTAAATTCAATTTATTTGCAACACGTAACATTAGAGTTTCATAAGTTAACTTTTTTAATGACAATTTTAGTTGAAGATTCATGGGTAAAGGCATATATTGTAAAACACCATGAACATTCTCCCATGACCCTCTAAAACACAAATCTATCCAAACATTATCAACATTAGATGATTTCATTATTGTAAATTAATTTACTAAACAAACGAGCTGCGAAACTAAAACCTGTTGTCGGATGGGGAAGGATGTCGTTGGATATAGGAACGGATGTCGCCGGAGAGAGTGATAGATGGAGATGGAATGAGTTGCGATTTAGGGATTTAGGTTATGAGTTGTTGCTGCTGCGTAGTTACATACCCAAAACATTTGTGTTGCGAATATAAAACCTGTTGCAAATTCAGAAATCGAGTTGCGAATTTGAAATTCAGTATTGCGATAGTCAGAATCTCGTTGCGATTTACAGATTCGCATTGCGATTTACGTAATCGCATTGCGATTTACGTATTCGCATTGCGATTTACGTAATCACATTACGATTTACGTATTCGCATTGCGAATTAGGAAAATCGCAACGCGAATTTGGGAAATCGCAATGCGATAGTCAGAATCGCGTTGCGAATCTGGAAACTAATTTGCGATACCGGAGATCGCGTTGCGAATTATCGATCGCATTGCGATTTAGTTTGTCATTTTGGCAAATCCAAAAAAAGTTGGTTAAAATCGTATATTATAAGGCATTTTTGGTCAGTGAGGTTATTTTCTCTTATATTAATTAAATCTTTTTACTAATTAGACTGTCTAAAAGAATTTAACTATATTATAGGGGTCAAAACAGGTATTAGACCTAAAATAAAAGAGTGAAAAATTTCACAATTAGACAGTCTAGAGCGTGTTCTTCACGTGTATGAGTTAGAGTGTAGGATAAATAATTTATTGCCTATTTAGGTAGTATTGAAAAGGTAAACAGAAGATGCTTGAGAAGAAACTTTGAAAGGAAGAATCAGTCTTTATCACTCTGCTGGCTCTGCTTTTCGTTTCTTTATAAATTTTGTAAAAATTAAAATTTCATTTTTTTACAATTATTTATTTATTATATATTTAATATTTTATTTATTCGTTAGGGTGTGTGAGCAAAATATAAATAGCGTTTGTTCTTCTCAAAGCCCAGCTTTAATGGCGTGTGAGAGCGTATGTATTTGTTTTTATATACAGTTTTTAAAGTAACCGTATTTGATGTGACGATCCCTTCAATCTTTGCATGCTTCACCAACTCTTCACTAAATGAAAACCCAAAATGAAATTCTTTTGATTTCAATGGAAATGTGATTTGAAAAAAAAAAGATTGTTCTTTGTGTTTGGTTCCCATCTTCACTCAAAGAAAACCAACCCTTTTTCTCTTTTCAAAATCCGAGCAAAACCCAGATGATAAACTTTGGTAAATGGTGATCTCTTGTGGGTATTTATTGTTGTTTATTTCTCTGATGTGGGTGTTTTGATTGTTTCTTCTTGGTAGTTGTGTTGTTCTTTTTGTTTTGTTGTTTGTGTGATGTTAGAAGCAAGCGCTGAGATTGGTCAGAAGAAGAACATGAAGGATGATGAGGAGCTTGGTAAGTTGTTAGATGAGATCCCTCATGCAACATCACACCACCACCACCATCATCATGTGCATCAACAGCATCATAACAGTCATGTGAACGGGCCATCATCATTCCGTGTTATGTGTTTTAGGCATGATGATGACATATCAGGCCATTATTATAAGCATAATACATGTACTTCCCCTGTAAGCGGTTTCTCTTTACAGTCAGATGGTTCTTCCTCTAGTCTGTTCTCTAACAATGGGCAGTCTTTATCTGACAATGGATCACAAACCCCACCTCCATTAGAAGACCTTAAACCACACTTGTCTAATGGACTGTTCCTTGATCCATCTGATAGGAGAAAAGCCAGTAGTAGCGACAGCTTGATTGGTGAAATGGGTCGTTTTAGAAACCTTAGTGAAATGTATATCAGTAATGATCAAGAGAATGTTGGTTCTAGTTTTAAAGATTTCTTCCATGAATCCCATGGGATTCTAGTGAATGATCATATCGATGTCGAGAATTATGGGGCTTGTGATAAACTGAGGAGGGGTTTCTCTGATGTTGCTGGAATTCAGTCATCCTCTGTTCCAGTGAGTGTTCCATTGAGTTTTCATGGTGAGATGAATATGTCATTTTCTGGATTGTCTCAGCACGAATATAGGATGAGTAATTTATTAGGGTCTCAAGATGGTTTAATTTCTCAGCTGGGAATGAATTGTTGGAATGGTGCAACAATGAGATCTCCTTGGCAGAAGAAGGAACCGATGTTTACTTATAACATGGGAGGAGTTTCTGTATCGAGTTTAAGCAGTTCTTTGAGTAAGCTTTCGGTGAATGATGCTTTAATCTACGGACAGTTGAATTGCCCGATTAGGAACGAAGGACGAGGTGAGTTGAATTTCCATGGTTCTCCAAGGTTGATTCAATCAACCCCTCAAAACGTGTTGCCCCTATCCAATGGAATGGCTAGATCACATTCAACTGTTAAAATGCCACATGGATGTCATACTGTTGAGGATAGTTACATTATTCAAGGAGAAGGTTTAAATTATGTGATAAATAAGGGGTCTGGTTATGCAAGGGCTCAAAACAAGGGTTCCCTGCAGGAGATTGGTGCGAGTAAGCGTCAAATTGGAGTAGCTTGTGGAATTGCTAAGAATGCCAAGTTATGTAGTCCATTCTCTTTGCCACCAAAGTATAACTCTTTGGCTGAAGCTCGTGGACACATTTACTTATTAGCGATAGATCAACATGGCTGCAGGTTCTTACAAAGGCTATTCGATGAGGGTACTCGACAGGATGTGCAAATGATATTTAAGGAGATCATTGATCATGTAGTTGAACTTATGATGAACCCTTTTGGGAATTACCTCATCCAGAAGTTATTGGAAGTGTGTAATGAAGAACAAAGAATGCAGATTCTGTTAATAGTTACTGAAAAACCGGGGCAGCTTGTCAAAATATCTCTGAACACTCATGGGTATGTATATTTATATATATATATGTCAAATGCATTGCATTTTATAACTTCATATCCATTGGTTCTAACATTGTCTTTTTTTTTTCTTTCTCCCTTCCTTTCAGCACTCGCGTAGTTCAAAAATTGATCGAGACTCTCAGCACCAGGCAACAAATTTCACTAGTTATATCAGCCCTTGAGCCTGGGTTTCTATCTCTCATCAAGGACCTGAATGGAAATCACGTTGTCCAGCGTTGCTTGCAATGTCTTAGCAGTGAAGATAACAATGTAAGCTTTGTGTTTTCGTTCTTGTTCTCTAGTGTTATATCTTGTATAGTTTGTGTGATAATGTTTTCATTTCAGAGGGTTTACATGAGTAAATGTAATTCATGGTAGAATTCCACCATATCGAGCTTCGTAATTGCAAGTTCTATGAGTTGTTCATGGTGGTGGGCATTTTAAAATCTTTTAGATTGCAAGTTCTCCTGTTATAATTGAAAATCTGTATGCAGCATTGGATGTTGCTTTCTAATGTTAACAATCTTGTTGTCTGAAGTTTGAACACGATCAGTCTTTGTTAATATCATAGTATGTTTTTCTTTTTTCCGGAAAGGGTTAGATGTCTTAAGTTCAAGTGACTAGAAAAACTAATAAAGCCCTATAGTGTAACCTCGGTGCTAGCAAAACAATGGAGTGTTATTAGGGTGAAATATTGTTTATATACTATGCATTGTCTGTTATATATTTCTTGCAGATAATGCAGATGGTGGCAAACCGCCTGATTTATTAGGGTGGCATATTGTTTAACTTGATGGTTTGTTTAAATATCAAATCAAGATAATGATGCACGCATGCTTGTTCCTGTGTCATTACTTTCCTCCGTAGATATCTGACTATTTCTTTTTTTCAATCATTTTGATAGTTTATTTTTGATGCTGCTGCAACGTATTGCGTCGATATTGCAACTCATCAACACGGTTGCTGTGTTCTACAACGCTGCATTAGCCATTCAACTGGGGAATATAAAAAAAAGTTGGTGGAAGAAATATCAGCCAACGGGCTTCTACTTGCACAAGATGCATATGGGTAAGTATTGATACGATATTATTCGATAATTATTTTAGATGCTTGTTTTTTACTATTAATACCAAGCACAACTTGATTAGCTATCGATTGGACTCTTCAGTGACAATGCTCCTTAGAGATAATTGTATGGAATTGTGAACTGAAACCATTATATTTCCAGAAATTGTTGAAATGAGTGCCGAGTTCTTGCTTTGATCTTTTGTGAGATACTTTATTGCCATGAGTCATGAGACTGGTTGGTTCCTTGTAAATGGGGACTGATGACTGCTGAAATGTAATTCATCATAGATGCTTTATCTGTTTGTCCCTTTTTTCCCGCAATCTTTTCACCGCTGCTTTTTGTTCTTCATTTGGCAGAAATTATGTTGTTCAGTTTATCTTGGAGTTAAAAATCCCGTCTGCCACGTCAACTTTGACTTCTCAATTTGAAGGGAACTATGTGCATCTCTCGTCACAGAAATTCAGTAGTCATGTGGTTGAAAAGTGTCTTGTCGTATTGAATGACGAAGGCTGTTCAAGAATCATTCGTGAATTGCTCTCTACAGCTCACTTCAAACGGCTGCTACAAGATCCACATGCAAACTATGTTGTGCAAACTGCTGTCCGCGTGTCTGAGGTATGAGAATCAATTACTTTTTCTATCATTTACGAATCCCCAATCCCTCATTCAACACCCTACTTCGTCTTTGCTGCTCGAGAACTGCATTTATTTTTCATCATAATCTTAAATTAATGCCTTTCATCTCGGATGCATGAGTTAACCAAGAGAAGTACACTTGTTTTCCGATATAGAGTATCATGTAGGTTTACTGCATATAGGTGATAGCAGTTTCATTTTTCCCTGAAGTCTACATGTCCAACACATATTCAGACATGGGTATGGAGCTTTGAGCTTCCAAACGCATGAAAATACATAGAAAGATTGAGCATATTTACGTTGGACGCATATCTATATCCGACACTCATCCCGAGTCTTAGTATCATGGATTGTTATGAACTGCAAATGATCTTACTTTAGGATCAAATAAAAATAGGGTTTATATTCATATTTCCGAAAATATATCCTTCTTGTTTGCTTATTTGGTCTCTTCATTGACGTCATGATTCATTTTCACCTTGCCAGGGACCACTGCACAACTCACTCGTCGATGCAATCGAGTCCTGTAAGGCCATATCGCGCAACAGCCCATATTCGAAGAGAATTTTCTCTCAGAAGCTTCTGAAAAAGTGAATGTACATTCTCTCCGTCTCTGAAAGCACTGTTGTTTTGTCTCTAAATTTCTTTTATCTATTATAACTCGATTTAACCATAAAAACGGCTCGTGCCGATACCCCGAGAAAGAGTTTTTTATCTTCTCAGAGTGTACATGGAAGTGCTCTTTCCATGCAGACTCCGAGGAGTATAAACTTAGGACATGTATTATTTTGTTGTCTTGTTGATCTATCTATGAATTGGATATTATATCATCTTTATTTGCTTTCACAACTCTCACTGCATGAAGTTGTGCAGTGTATAGAATGTTTAGGGTCCTTGATTCCTGCTGTACAGTACAATCTGAACACCATTTTAATAATACTCCTTAAACTATGATTTTTATATCATTTTGGTTGTTGAACTTTAAAAATTTACAAAGTGATCATTAATTTTATTGAGTTATTATAAAATGATCATCGGACATTACATGTGATATTTATTGGTAAATATCTTATTTGGTCTTTTAATTGTAATTAAAATATTTTTTAAAAATAAAGAGGATTAAAATTTTAGAATTTTCTAGAAACATATGAAAATTCATGTTATATATATTTTTTAAAAATTATAATTTTATGATTTTTTCAGAAAATAATAAAATGGTTTAAAAAGATAAATTCAAATAATATGCGTAGATAATGCTTCAAGTCTTCCTTAGTATTAATTTGTGAGAAGGATAAAAAATTTAGAATTTTCTAGAAACATATGAAAATTCATGTTATATATATTTTTATGATTTTTTTGAAAAATAATAAAATGGTTTAAAATGATTAATTCATATAATATGTGTAGATAATGCTTCATGTCTTCCTTAGTATTAATTTGTGAGAATGTAAAAAATAAGCTTATCGTTGGTACAAATGATCATCATGTTTCGTATATTTTAGAATTTTTAATTCTTGACATTTCAATTTTTGGTCAAAATATCATTTGTTGAATGAATAAAGTTAATTTATTAACGATCAACATATGTTATTAATGTGATATTTTTACATGTGTTTAATTGATTACATAACATGTAATACATCATCATTTTAGATTACGTGTCACATATTATGTAATCATTTTTAAGTGATGATGTAATACATACTACATTATCATTTTGAGTGATATGATATATATCACATCATTAAATTGAATGATGTGATATATATTATGTTATATCATCAATTGGGACGATGTAATATATATTATGTCATCATTTTAAGTAATGTACCATATAACATATAATTATTTTGGTAAATTGATATATATCACGTCATCAATTAAACACATATAAAAATATCATATCAACAACATGTTAAACTCTTGTTTTGTTTTTTTGATAAATTTCATATGAGTAGAAGATAATATCTATTCAAAGGTTCTTAACTATTTGATAATGGACACTCATACTCTTATATATACCATACTCGAATTTGAGACTTCAATAAATAATAATAATCCCTAATCTTAATACTCTTAGTTAAATATATTCAGAAAATTAATCCTTGTTTGATCATTTTAAAATTTATTTTTAAAATGCAATTTTTAACTACTCAACGTCACAATAAAGAAACGAAGAATTTTCGAACCACCAAGTAACGGCCAAACCACGTGAGCGCCACGTTTGAAAATTCCACGACCAATGTGGTCCCGGGACACGTGTCGACCTTCTGAAAGCCAAAACGGACGTGGACCAATAACGTCAAAGAAACTGATCGGACCTCATAACCCCACACCCATCCACGAATTCTGATATGTGATATCTACCCGTTTTACTACGGCCGTTTTTTTATCTCCTCGCCACGTGTCGTCCACTTAATCAACATCCCTTTTTAGTTTTTTTAACCTTTCGAAAATATAATTAAATAATAAAATATTTTTTAATTCCCATTCAGGAAAAAAAGGAGGAAAAAAATCGAGTGCTCTGTCTGTTATTCTCTATAACTTTGTCTGTGGATTTTGAAGCCTTCGTATTAGTGAAATTGTGCGCTTTATTGGAAGCAAATCAGTGTTTTCTTTTTCTTATTTGAATTGGAGTATTTGATTTTCTGGTGAAAATTTTCAATTTCAGGTGAGTTTTTCTTTTCCGTTTCATTTTTTGCCGATACTTTTTTTTCGGTTGATTTCCTTGGATTTTTTTTTTATTGTGTGTTTATATATAATTTTGTTTGGTTGCTGAGAAACTGCAGAACATGAAACGGAGTTTTAGATTTTTTTCTATATAAATTGAGATAAGAGAGAAACAAATGTCTGAAAGTCAATCTAAATCTGAAACAAATTCGCTCTTACAATATAATTGTTTTGTTGTTAATATATTTTTTTGAATTTACTGCTACGAAAGTTGTGGGTGCATTTGGTGCTTTGATGCTGAAAAGTAATTACTTTTTTGTTTGTTGTCGATTGAGAGCTTTTCGATTTTAAACTTGATTATTTTCCACAAATTTGGAAGTTAACTTTTGATGAATGATTCTTCTAATTTGTTGTGGTTATTATGTTTGTGTTTCAGTAAGCTAAAGCGGGCATAAATCATCTTCCATAAACATAACATCGGATCAAAATATTTGATTTGTGTTTACTGGTGGTTAAGGATCTTAGAGAAATGTCTGACTTGTGCATGTATGAGGTAAGTTTCTTAATATACCTTTTTAGTTTATTCATTTACTTTTGTTTTCTAGTAGAAAAGTGTTTTAATTCCAATAAAGTTTGTCTGATGCAATTGTTTCAGCTTATTGATTCAGCTTGAGATTTGATTTTACTTTCAGTTGTTCACTAGGTTTAACATTTCAACAGAACTTATTCGTTGTATAGTGTGATATACTGCCTCTTTTGTTATGATATTAGTGGAGGTATTTATTGAAAATTAGAGGGTGTAATGAATTTGTTATGAAAAGAAGAATCTTAAGTACTTCAGTTTGAAGCTTTTTAATTCCTGTATTTCCGGGTTTGCTGTGGCCTGTTTGACTTTGTTGATAATTAGGTTTGTAGGGTTTAGTTTGTTAATTATCTTTTGGGGTCTGACAAGGTCTAAGTCATACATAATGGTTGTTGAATTTTGCTCTTCTCATCAGAGATTGGAAAAGTCTGATTTGTTTAATGGATTTGACTCCCAAATTCATTTTTTTAGTTGAAATCGTTAATGATGGCTCCAATCCAAGATTGTTAGCAGGAGCTAGTATCTTTTTTTCTTTCAAATAAAAAATCGGAAGACTAATATCATTGCACTAAATAACTATTCCTTTGGTGGTCTTCTTCTTGGTGGGTTGTCCTAAATAAGATTTTATTCACTTTAAGGAATTGCTATGCTAACATAATAATTTTTTTGATATTGCCAATTTTTTGTGCTAGAAAGCGATTATCTAGTGCAATGGTAGAAGTCTTGTAGTTGAAATGTGCAAGAGCATGGGCTCACGAACAAGATGACTACTTATCAGAATTACTTGGGGTTTATGCTGATGCAATCATCATTGGATGGCTTTTCTTTTGAAGTATTGCTCTTCAGATTTGCCCTGGACCTCCTTAGTTGCCCTAATGCTTTTGGTTGCATTAATTTTAGGAATTGTGTTGTTCTAGCTAAGGGATGGAAAACTTATCATCCTTTTATTTTATATTTGAAGTACTTCAGTTTGAAGCTTTTTAGTTCCTGTATTTTCAGGTTTGCTGCAGCCTGTTTGACTTTGTTGATAATTAGGGTCCTAGCGTTCAATTTGTTCAATATCTTTTATGTCTGCAAGGTCTAAGTCATACTTAATGGTTGTTGAATTTCGCTCTTCTCATCAGACATTGGACAATCTAATCTGCATCAGAGGATTTCACTGCCAAATTCATTTTTTTATCTTTTAGTTTAAAACATTTTTGAAGGATTCAATCCAAGCTTGTTATCAGGAGACTAGTATATATTTTTTAAATATTTATAAGGAGACTAATATCATTGCGCCAAATAACTATTCCTTTGAGATATTCTTCTTGATGAGATGTTCTAATAAGATTTTATACACTTTGAGTTGTTATGCTAACTTGAAATTTTTTAATATTTCCAATTTTTGGTGCTAGAAAGTGATTATCTAGTGCAATGATAAAAATTTTGTAGTTGAAATGTGCAAGAGTATGGGCTTAAGAACTGATGGCTTTTCTTTTGAAGTGTTGCTCTTCAGATTTGCCTTGGACCTCCTTAGTTGCCTTCATTTTTTTGGTTGGATTTCTTTTTTTAAGAATTGTGTTGTTCTCGCTAAGGGATGGAAAATCTATCATCTGTCTAGTTTATTTAAAACTTCCATTATTACTAAACTTGTATAATTGTTGTTACAGCTCGAAGATAATGTTTGGGATGATTTTGGAGATACTGGTGATCATATAGTGCCGCGTACCGCTGATGAATACAGGGCTCAGTTGAAAATTCAAGGTGATAGTGAAAAAAAATCACGACTTGAAGTGATTGGAGTCACCAGTGCTGATTATACAAATAAATATGGTATTTTGGGGGAGAAGGAGAAATGCTTACATACTTTAACCAAGAACAGAATGTTAGAAAAGGATCCATGGTCCGACATTCGTCACATTCCTGATAGCATGTTTCCCACTTCAGGTGATAATGACCCACACAAAGAAGTAAGAACCATGGCATCTGATGAACCCAGGATGTCCGGCCATGGTCTTGAAACTGGAAAGATAGATTCAATTGGAAGCGACTTCTGTTCTGATGATCCTATCTTGGTTGACAAGTGTGCCACAGAAGACAATAATTATTACCGTTTTCCACTAAATCACATAACTGCAGCAGATGATGATCTCAGATTTTTTAATAATAACCACGAGAACAACAAAGCAAATGGTGATCTTTTATATTATGGCTTGGGAAATTTTGAGGATGTTGACAGGATGTTCAGGTAGTTCTTGAAATCCCTCCATTAATTATTCATGCTATTTTTATCATGTAGAATCTGACTAGTAGCTTCAGTAGGACCTCCCGTTTTGAGTACAACTTGAGTATCTACATTCATAGAACCAAAACCACCACATATATGGACACACACCCCATATGGATGCATGAATGCGTGTAAGTTTACAGAGTAGTATTAATTTGAGTAAGCATTTGTGTTGTGATTCAACATACATGTACATGCACCCCACAAGGAAAAGCAATACGTGGAGTAACTCAAACTTCCATAGTTTCTTGCAGAATTTGTGATTCAACATTTGAGTTGGGGAGTTTCGGTAATGAAGATTATTTGCCCTGGTTTTCACCTTCCGAACTGGCTGAAGGATCTCAAGATGCATTGAAGGCTGATGCTAAACTGAATAGTCTACAAGAGAAATGTTCAATTTCCAGGCCAGC